CCCCTAGGGATTCACAGAGGTACTGCACGGGGGTCGTGAAAGTTTTGGTTGATTAGACTTTTTTATATTCACCCCCGCATTTTTCCCACAAATTGAAATGTCTTTAAATACACGTTAACATGAATTTAACACGCTGTATTAAAGAGATAAATGGAGGCAGAAGATGTCTTTCAGTCATCAATGCACACATTCAGAGACACACAGGAGGTCTTTCAAGCTGGGCACCGTTTCATTCACAACACCTGTCCCATCAACCAGGAATCAGAATCAGAAATATTTTAATAATCCCAGGGGGAAATTATTTTCGTTACATTACTCCATTTGCAATAGAGCGACTACAGGACCAGTTTGATATAACACAATTTCATACTATATCTAATTAGGGGTCCCTACTCCATCTCGCCATCAGTTTGCGGGCCCTTGCCCTGGAAAACGTTAAAGATGTAGAAAATTTAAAAGGTCATAGTATTTTGAAATCTGAAATTAGGTTATTTTTTTATACTGAATTTCATTTGAACCGAGTAAAAATTTGTGTTCAAACAAAAACAAATCTGTGACTTTGACATTATTTAGACATCATCAATCACCTTTTGTAAATGTCTTCTGATATTGCTCTTTATTGATCATTCATCCTATTTCTTTATTTATTATACAATTATATATCATGTCAAAGTTGATTTGAATATAAAAAACACATAATGGTTGAGGTTTATTTTTTTACCTGATACAAGCATTGCCAAACTCAGTGGTTAGTCAAGATACTGTAATGAAATCATTTTTCCACTAGATGTCAGAAAAGTGCTTATTCACTGAAACCTCATAATCTGTGGCCTAATCTCTCTGAAAGCGCAGCTGAACAACTGATAATCACTTTATGAAATACTTCTTTTAAAAACATTCTAAGCAAATCATTTTACTTCCTCTTCTGTGACCTTAACTGAGAACCACAAAGGAACAGAAACCTCATTAGTCCCTTCTTGAGCAGGATTCTATTGATTATGATTTTTTGTTTTGCAAAGTACTTTGATCAGTATGTTGCAAAAAGTGTTAGTAGTATTAAATATAAAACCATCTGTAATAAATATAACAAGACAAAAGGGAGTAATTATGTCTGCACATGTACACCTAAAAAGGCATAAACAGGAATTGCACAACTTTAATATTCATACTCATGCACTTATGTAAATATTGTTTCAAACTTTAAAGCAAAAAATAACTAAAGAAATAAAATACTAACTGACTAAAAAGCAAATATTAACATTTAACATGATTTATAACTGAAAAACAAACTGTAGTCTAAATTGGTGAAGAGTTGCTTTTAATCTGCAAGTCACTGGATGCCCCTTTAGACATTTAGAGTTATAAATATTCTTTTTTGTGTGTCCCCCGAACCCATGGATATCTCTAGTCTTTACTTAGGTTTTTTTCTTCCAAATATTTTCATCCTTTGCAAATGCATATTATCTTTATTTAACTTTTTTCATACCATTTTGTTTTCAGACTTAAATAAGCATACAAAAGATTTTATGGAGTCCATGTGTCCCTGAACTCACCTTTGTTGAGTTGTTAATCATTCACATCCAAAAAGAAAACACTTTCAAAAACTTTTTAAGGCATCAAAAAAACAACAGAAACAAATTTTCTTTTTAATTTTCACAGATTACCTGGCAGAGCGGTAGTGGGAGGAGCTTCCATCTCTTCAAACAGCCAGACTCAATCAGAGAAATACTTTATAGGATGCAAACTTTCTAAATAGTGCAAAATAAACATTGCTGGCTATTATATCTTATATACAGGCACTTACAACAACACTGTATTAGGAAAGTTAATCTATTTTAGTACCCTAATTTATTAAGTTAAACACAATAAATACAAATAATTAAAGACTAATTCTGTTAAGTCTTTATTTCTCATTATTTTGTTGACAGAACACACAATTTAACATTAGAAATAGCAACATTACACTTTAAGAAACATTATTAGTATAGAAATGTTGGCTAAATAAAAGTATGTATGCTCCCTGCTTGGAGGCTTTTATTTTTAAAAGGTAATTTTGATTTAACAAATAAGGCTCATAAAATGAATTGTCTAAAGATGTTTAGTGTGATTTTCTACAAAAATATTGGATTAATCAGGGTTTCTTTAATACTAAAATAAACAGTGAATATCTTCTTTCTTATTATTGAGAAGGCAGAAAGTTCGATGACAAATAAAGTGGCAGGCAAAGAAATAAAAACCTAATGTCCCTTTTCCTAATCTGGAGGGTATTTTTAATGTTTAAAATGATTTTTATACACAAGCCATAAAACACGTGAAGCCATGGGACAGCTGGTTAGCATTCCTCTGCCAACATATTTCAACAATGTGTTGGCGTTTGGGCCTGCAGCAGGCCTGAAGATGGTATCTGGCTTTGTGTAAATTTGTGCCACTTCATCCTCACTCTGTTTTCAGGAACCTCTTGCACTAGATGGAAACTGTGCTCACAAAGGCAGAGTGTATTTATATAGAAGCAGAGGGTTGTTTCCGTAAGGGCATATTTGGGTTTTCTTTTAGCTCCAGACACTCTGACTGGAAGTGTTTGGGATCATACAGCATATTTTATCAGCTCGCACTGAAAATGACCTTTAAAGAGATGAAGGGTGAAGTTTCTCCTACAAAAACAGGATATTTAAGTCTCACTTAACCTTTATGCCATAGATACATTGTGTAGGTAATGGTGTTTATCTGTTATTATAAATTAAATATATAAGGACAGAAAAAAAAGCTTTTCTCATCCTGTAATCTGAAAAAGAAACTAACAAAACAAACCTAGAGAATCTGTTGTATTAAATGATATATTATCTATTCATTAATCTTGTGTCCCTCCAAGTATACAAGTTGGTTTTCTTTGTAAATACAAGATCGGTTTTGGACATCAGGTATGGCCAACTCTGGATTTTTTTGCTCATATAAGTCTGGGTTGGTATCATTTTTATTAGTTATTGAAGATGTGGATGGTTTTCCAGTCCACTTGTGCTTTGTATGGTGGCCCACAGGTGCAGACCCTTAGTAAACAGTGAAACAAACTAAAAAAACATGTACTGTAAGCACAAAAAAGAGCAACCACAAAAAAAACAGCTGCAATCAAAAACAAAATGCTGTGATAACGGAGAGTAAAAGATGCAAATAGTAAAAATAGCTGCAAACTTGCTCTTAAAAAAAAACAGAAATGCTCCGAACTACTAGAGGAATGATCGCAGCATTTTAAGTTTTGTTTGCAGCATTTCTTGTTTGCATTTTGTGTGTGTGTGTTTGCAGCTCACATTGCTGTCTGCTGCACATTTTTACCTCTTTGCAGGTCATTTATTTTTTCTTTTTTTTTTTGTAGCTTTTTTTTAAATTTGCATTATTATTATTTTTTCTTTTTGCTTGCATGTTTAGGAGTTTGCATCTCACAGGTTTTTGCAGGTTGTTGTGTTGTGTTTGCACCCGTGCTTTCTGTCCAATCCTTGTATACCCAAAGCAGGAGATGCTTTAGCATTTCACAGCACACAGGTTGGACTCTGCCAGGCTGATCCTCATCACTGAGTTTGTTTGTGGTTTTCAGAGGATTGATTGTCTCATCTTTGTGTCTGAGTAGATTTTTTCGAGCAATAAACAGCAGGATGCACTGGAGACGTTCAGAGCACATATACTTTACTCATTTAAGCTCTTAATTCTCATGGTAAAAGGTGGACTGGTCCCTCCAGGTTGGTTGTTACCAATTTCAGCCAAAGAAGAAAAAGTATTTTGGACTCTTTTGTTTATTTACGGTAGGGTGCAGGATTTGGTGAACTTTTGTGCTGAAAAAAAGGAACCAACAAGCTTCTCAGATAGTGGATGATTGAAAACAACAAATGTTTTACTACATCTGAGGTCTTCATGGTTGAATGTTGTAAAACTGGTTGAGCAGCAAATCTTTAAAAGAATGAATAAGGAGTTTTCAATCTTTGGCTGCAATATCTAGCTTTATAATAATGATAACATTATGGTTTCAAGCTACAAAATAAAATAATGGGCTACACGCCAAACTCCACTACTTCCTGAACTTCAGCCAGCTCCTTTGCCTCCTGTCTTTCATTACTGGACAAACGGATTACTATGGCCAGTGTTGTCATGTTTGCAGAGGTCAGCTCATTTGAATCTTGGAAAAAAATTATTTTTTCTTTTGCAGGGTTAGATAAGTTTACTTGCTCCAGACAAGCATTAGTTTTTGTGAATGAAAGAAAAAGGTTTTTATTTTTTTGTACATAAAAGGTTATTAACCTCTGGTCTCCACATATTACACAATTTTTGCAGCACATGTGAAGTTTTGCTGCGCTTCACTTACTGTAACTTCATTGGCAGCTGATGTCCAGCAAGGTAGCAGGTGGCTCCTCTCAAATTCTCATCTGTGTGAAATGTACATCTTTTATTTTAAGTGGGTAATAGATTTAGATTTTTGGAAAATTTACCTGAAGTTCACAGTTTTTAACTTTTACACAATACAAACACAGAATCCCAGCACTTAATGCAACAAGCTGATAAAGGGGGATTCTTCTGCTCTGAAAACTTGAACTTCTGAAAAGGATTTTACAGAGAGGGCTTTTTCATTAAATCAAGATAATTATGGACAATCTGGAGTATCCTCTTCATCACTGTTTTAAAACAACAAATTGTGAACAGAGCCATTGTGAACAACAGGAAAGACTTCCTGCTTTCAGCCACCAGGATCTACTACAGTTCATTGAAAAATTTATATTATATGAGTCATAATGTAAAATTTCATTTTTGGATTATGATTTTTTTTTTAAAGTTCATGCATGACACACATATTAAATATTGTTGTTTTAACATTTTGAGATTTGAGACCTAAAAGCCTTTATTTTGAAAGTCAGAGGGAGAATAGCAGCATCCCACTGCTGCAAGCTTGACTGCAGGAGTCAGCTGTGGGTTACTGATTTCTCTGCTCACTCAGCTCAGAGGAAGCGACCAGTGTGGATACAGGACATCACCTCATGGGCTTTTACACCTCTATTCTGCAGCATTTTTAGAGTTTAAAAATGATTCCAACTCTTTTCATTAGAAGGAAACCCTCTGAAATTGAGCTGAAATGAAGTGACTTTTGCCTGAATTTCTTGTTATGACAGCTGACTGGTTTGTGTCTACTTGAGGACTGATCATGAGAAGTTTGCTGCTCCTCACGTTTTCTCTCTGGATGTGTCCACTCAAGGTGAGTCTTCTATCAGTAAAGGTCATGTTGGAAGATTTTATGCACTTAGGAAGCTATATTAGACTTTTAGAGGCCAAATAGTGAGGATGAACAGATGTTCATCCTCATTATTTACTGACATAAAGAACATGCCACAGTTTTATGAAAATGTTTACTCTGATTTATAATATTCCTTTTACTTATTTCAAAGTGCTTTGAGAAAAGAGTAAAACTAAAACCTATTTTATATCCATAATTCACTTATTGTGGGATACTTTAACAGTGGTCTATGGGGAAATGGTCAGAGGTAATAATGTTATTACATCATAAATCTACTCGTCATTTTACAATATTCTAGCTGAAGAAAAACATCCATCAGTTTCAGCAAAGGAAATGTTTATATTGTTACTTTCTGGCAAAAAAAGTTTTTACTATAAATATTTTACTTTTGGTTCTGTATGTTATGGAAATACGTGAACGTTAATTCTTGTGTATATTAAGTAAATATTTAAATTTGACATGCAACCACAATTTTGTATTTCTGATTTAAAATTCAAAATCTAATAAAACTTTAATGGTTTAAAAAAAATGAATCGAACTATAAAGAATTATTTCTTCATAGAAATAATTATAAAAAATAAACGAAAATGTTGTTTTCTAATTGGATATGGACCTTTTTTCTTCAGCGCAATTAAAGTAATTTTAAAAATTAGTTGGATTTTTTGTCTTTTCATTCAGGCACAAATCTCAAATCTGGTTTCCTTTAAATGAAAAGAAAACTTCCTCAAAGCTTTGGAGTGGGGTTTCCTTTCACAAGCTGTCTTTTAGCCATGGATGGTTTTAAAATGATCTTCAATACTATATTTGGAAAAGAGGTTTTCACACATTAAATAGCCAGTTTTATGAGACAAAGGTGCCAAATAATATAAAAGCTGAGACGATTAAACCTGTTTTCTTAGTAACACTACTGCATCAAGAGGTTTGACAAAATTAGTGAAAGAAAATCTTATTTGGGAGCCTCTACAAGCAGTCATCATCTTACCAACAACAAGTGGCAAAGATTAGTTTTTACTCTTTCAGTCTTTTTGCTTATATCAACTTTTCATTTGAAATATAAAACTTCCTCCATCTAAGTCTTCAAAATAATCCATGTGAAAGATTTGAACTTCAATACTAACAGACTATGAGTCTAACAGTTAAAAAACACTGAGACCATTTTAGGTAAAACCAAAATATAAACAAATTTTCTTAAACCTTAGTGAGTCAGATTTTTACCATTTGGAATAAAAACATAGGACAGCTTGACTAAGAGTAGTTTTTCAAAAATGGCACCCTGTAGTCTACTAATTAAGCACTTTTAAATTTAAGGAATAATATCATATTGATTAAAGTAAATAGTTTTAGGTTTAAGAAGATCTTTGTGCAGCAATTCAACCCAAATGAAAATACAACAACATATTTGTATTAATTTTGCAGGAAATTTTCTTTCTGAAACAGTGATAGACACTCAGTCCTCTCATTTTTAAAGCAAAGCTGATTAGGAAAGTATTTTTTTTTCTAGCTTACAATCTAATCATAAAATGCTAAGCTGCTGAAAAACTATGAAAACTAATTGCATCTTTTTCAATTACAGCAGGCACTGGTGATTTTTAACTGCTGGAGCAGAAGTGTCTGAGTGTTGATTAATGAAGCTTATTTGTAGAATTAACCTCATAGTGTTTGACTGTTCATGACCAAGGCCTCCTCCAGCTATTACTGCAGTTTTATTGTTTTTTTTTTCCTTTTGTCTGTCATAAATTATCAGGCCTTTCTCAGTGCTTATTCGCCTCACAGGACAAACAGTGGAAGCAGTCTCTGTATCTGCCTTCCGGGGTCGTCGCTTTAAATGCAAGCTAGGGTGTAAAATGTGCTTGTCACCCCAAACAAATGTGTTTTTAACCGCGTAAAGCCATGCATGCTGCCACCTCCAATGCAGACAGGAATGGCAGCTGAAGCAAAAACCAATCTGAGGTTCATCTTCTGACTTGCTGAAATATTATTTCATTCAATTAGTGACTAATCTGGATTCATTTTTTATTATGCTTAAGGGTACAAAGATCAAACGCAATCATTTAGTAGTTTTAAGTTAAGCCGTTGGCTTTTAACTCAGAGTTTAAGCACTATTACTCCCTTAGTTTCAAACTGCACCCGATACAATGCACAGTAAGTGGAATTTGGTCTGATGTATTTTCTCTTCACATAAATCCACGACTTTTTCAGCATGACGAAAATAAAACAGCAAACATCTACTAGACACTACAGGCAGCAACTCTTGTAACATTTCAACTAAAATCACATATACATTTTTTAGGTAAAGTGTTGTTCTTCAAGTGTGAACCAGTGTGGTCAAAATGTAGATCTTCATTGATTCCACAACCTGTGATTAACTAGATTAGAAAGAGAGGAAGTGATGCTTTCATGCTCTGATCTCCTGGCATTAAACACTGATGATCTGTGGTTTCAGATGAAGGAGGCTTATTATCACAGATATGCTCAGATATCAGTTTTTGTCTTCAGTTCCAAACAGGTAGAGTCCCATGATGGTCTATCGACGTATCGACCAATGCGAGTCCTTCAAACAAACTGGTTGATTCACAGATGTGGTGTTTGTCCTAAATGAGGAGTCATTTGGGTTCTTTGTTAACCCCTTAGTTTGCATATTAACAAAGAACCCAAACGACCCCCCATTCCTAAGAGGTGGACCCGTTTTTTGTGGTTTAATTTGTAAGGCTTTGTTTTGGGCCACTCTATAAAGCTTCAAACTCGATGCTAATTTTTACATTTTGAATTGAAAAAAGCTTCCTGGATGGGAAGGGAAAAATCTTCAAACTTGGAAATAAAGTCAGTTAGATTGTTTTTTTTGTTTTTTTTTTTACTTATTTGGAATGACTTTGACCTGGAGTAGTAATTTCCCTCTGGGATTATTAAAGTATTTCTGGATGACTGAGAACCTTCACCAGCATTTTCTGGATAACTTTCAGCTTTAAAAATAAAAGAGACAGCAAGTGAGACAGAATAACTGGTCCAGTTTAGACTTCCTTTCCTCTACCTTCAGATAATTAAAGTTATGCCAATAATATGATGAAGGACATATTACACAGTTGCACAGGGGTAAAGTGCAAAACACAGGCTCAGTCCTGTACACAGGAGAAATGGGTGGAAGTTTTAGCCTGTTGACCTTTTGCTGCATCTCTTCATCGTCTCCCTTAATCACATTTCCATTTAGAATACTTTCAAATTAAGGCATACAAAACAAGGCCTAACAAAAATAATAAGAATAACATGGTGAATATTGGCAGTTCCCCACCACATTTCAAGGGCACAGATCCAGGGAAACACCTTAGTTTGTCATTTCTGTTGGCCAGCACTTGTACCACCTGTAGTATGAGCGCTGATGTTTTTAAGCACCTCTAGGCAAAAAGCCGTTTCCATCCAATGGAAATGCAGATTTTAAGCTAACTTTTAAACGATCCATAAAAAGGAAGAGAACATTTCTGGTAGTTTCATTTGATTTAAAGGGAATTTATCAAGCACTGCAAAGCGTTATGTCATCGGACATCGTTCACATTACGCCGACACGCTTGGCTTTAATAATCAGGAGGTGGAAGCTGCTATCTAGCACTGATTACAGATCAGTAGTGGAGGAAAGTTTTGAAGAATGTGTTGCTGTTGGAAAAGTTGTTCATATGTTACCATGTCAGGTATTAATGGCAATGTTGCTTCTGGCCATGTATAAGTGAATAATAGGAACATTTGGGAAAACATGGACAGCAGAAACAACTGATCATTCATGTGAGGTAAAAGTTTTCGACGTCAGAGCTGATCCAAAAGTACCCTCAAGCGAGCATACAACGTTTTTTTGCCAATTTGAAGGAGGTTTTTCAAATGTTGTCGTTTCCCTCAAGCTTTTCTGATGCAATATTTTAAAATGTGCATTATAAAAAGCTGATGGAAATGCATCCAAAGATTCTTAGATAAGTGTGGGAATATTTTTACAAAAGCCAAGCGAACATCTGGTTTCCTCTGATTCAAGCCAGTTTTGTGATTGCCATGCCCAATGTCTAAGAATTTGCACAATGATTGGGAATTAGTGAGCCACTGCAACCAAAGAGCCACTGTGATTGTTTTAAATCCCTGCTTAGGATAAACCATTATGGTAAAAAAAACAAAAAAAATCTATTAAACAATCAATTGGACCAATCAGTGGTATTTTCTCTGCCAGAACATATAAGAGATATATTTAGTACAATCTCTTTAGCACAGGAACAATATCAGAGGCAAGGATGTGTTCTACGGTGGGTCCTAGTCCCAGTGTAGAACTGATCATGGTGATAAAAGGACAACAGCAAATACAAGCTTTGGTATCTAAGGAGGAAGGATTCCACATTTAGTCTGCACCTAAAAGAGTTAAAAATGCTCAGTTTGCCACAGGATGTTTCAATCTCACTCAGTAAATGCTGAACATTTTGAGATCTGAAGATTTAAAGTAATTATACACAGCCATAAATGCATGTTGACATACACTGTGTCTGATACACATAACTTCCTCTGTGTGACATCGAACAGACTGATTCTTTTCCTGTGTAACTTCCTAGGATTCCTCCTCCACTCCATTTCAGTTTTACAAATTCTGGAAATTAAAAATAAATCTGTAAGGAAAATAAAGTTTCTAGATCACAGATTGGAAGTAAAGATAAGATAAGATGAGGAAGGTGCAGGCTTTCTCTCAGAGTGACAGATTTTGCCATAAAACTACTGCAGTACATACCTCAGATATTAACTTTGAGATATTTTAAATAAATGTCTTCATTCCACAGCAATTAGAGAAGGAATTCCAGAAGAGAGAGCCTGGGCTCTACTTCTTGGGCCTTAGTAGTCTAATGTCTTCTGATGCCATATGAGAAAAGATGAGATTTGTTCACCTGTCAGATCAGTACCTGGAAAACTGATGATTTGCTTTCTTTCAACAGCCTGTTCTTTAT